CTGGGGAATTCTGGGAGTTGAAGTCCACACATCTTCAAGTCGCCAAGGTTGAGGAACCTTGTCTTAGATTATTGACCCACCTAGGTCAATACTGATCTTCTGCCTGACTGGAGCTTTGTAGATACTGGGGCAAAAGGCCTTTCCAAACCTCACTATGGAGTTCTTTTCACTGATGTTCAGGATTCAGCTTCTACCTATAAAGAAGGCCTTGGGATGTCTTGGGGTGTGGTCAAAAAGGTCAAGATGGCAGCTGTGACAGTGCGATCCAAACACCCCTTTTTTATGGGCAACACACCATTGTGGCTGCCAGTTTGACGTTTTTGACCATACCATGCAGATACTCCTGGATGGTAACTTTTGAGTTAGGGTTTTTTCCCAGAATGTCAAGATGGATGTGGGGGAGAAAACATGGTGATATTCTGAAGAAAGCTGAATGAATTAGGAACAGATCTTCCTCATCCTATTATTAGTATCATCATCATCATCATTATGGCTGGTTGCACAGTCAGCCAGATGTTTAGATTGGATTTGGCATTTTTATCCATCTATTGAATCCTTCCAAAGGACCTGTTGTTGTTGTTGTTATTGATATCCTGTGATTCCTCTGAGAGTTCAAGGTGGCTCACATGAGGCTCCCACCTAATTTTATTCTCACAACAACAACCCCATGAAGTTGGACCAAGAGAGTCAGAGACAGATGTCTGCAAGAACCAGATCACAGAGATCGCAGAGCTGGGCTAGGCTAAGATTATCCTCCAGAAGTTCTCCACTAGAGAAACAAACCTTTATTTCTCCAGAAAGCTCCCAGGCTCCCAGATGAAGCAGCAAATGATGCTACTCTCTCAGCTATATTGTACATGGAGGACCCATGAATCTTAATTCTTCTTCTTTTTAATCAGAAGCTTGTCAGAGTCCTTCCTTCCTCCTCCTTTTTCTTGAGCGTGTCTGGAGAAACAGCAGTGTCAGGCAAGACTGTTCTATAGTCCTTTCAAAGGCTTTTCACAATCCGCAGGGGGAAAAAGCAAGCCGCAGCACAGGAGGCTGCTTGGAGAAGGGATAACACACAGCAATGTGGGAGAAAGACAGGGATGGGAGGAGAGATGAAGAGGCCGGGTAGCAGGAGTCACACTAGGAGATGGACAGGGCCATCTACATGTAGAAAGGGGTGGGGCTTTGACCATGTGGCTGTGGCCGCCATCTTGACTCTTTTGACCAGTCCTCCTATGAACACACCTGATATGGGAAGAGGAAGCAGAAGAGATGGAATGCCCCAAGGCACACTGGTGTTTGCTTGGGGGCAAAATCCTACTGATGCTACTGCATCTGCCCACCAGCCAAAGTCCCTTTGAGTTGAAGTAAGTCTTTCCTGAGTAGTTCCAGAATCCCTCCCTCCCTCTCCCTTCCCTCTCTTTCTCTCTCCCCCTCCCTCCCGCCTTCCTTCCTTCCTGCCTTCCTCCCTTCCTTCCT